GCCTTCTTTAAAATTCAATGCATATGTAAAGAAATATACGGTAACCCGAATTTACCACACTCGCAAAATCGCACACAGCCAACCATACACCCAGTATGGTATCGCGATTCGTGATTTTGCGCTATCATACTGGGTGTATGGTCGGCTGTGTGCGATTTTGCGAGTGTGGTAAAATCGCATAACAGCAAAATCGCATAACAGCCGAGCATACACCCAGCAGCGCTGCTGATGCCTGAACGGTATGTGGAATGAAGTGGGCGGGCATCGGGAGGCCACTATGGCACGGGGCAAGCACTATGGGCAGTCTATCTGAAGTGTACCTGGCGTATAAGACGACCCCCCACTTGGAGGCATATTTTTCAGGGCCAAAAAATCGTCTTATACGCCGGCAAATACGGTAAAAAATTTCAGGCCATGCCTGTAAACAAATGGTGCTTTTTTTAAAATAAAGAATATTTTATACCCACAGCTGTAATTGATTGGGATAACATTGGTCAACGTGAACATACAGGTTTCAGCTGTGGTTTTCTGTGACAAGGTCTGTATATTGCGCTGTGTGCCCACCACCCACAGTCAAATTAAAATAACCTGTGTTCCATCCGTCAGGCTCAGCCTCTGAGGAAGGAGCCCGAAGTCATCACTGTGACCCTGAAGAAGCAAAACGGAATGGGCCTCAGCATTGTCGCGGCAAAGGTAGGGCCGGCAGGCGGCCTGAGGGTGGAGGGTGAAGCAGATGGCGTGGGGGTGCTGCACCCTGTGCCGGAGCCTCTGTGCCCGGAGCCAGCCAGCCGAGGGGTGGTCTCCCCTCAGAAAGTGGAGCGAGAGCGCGTGAGCCCGGAGGTCGGGCCGGGCCTGGGTGCAGGGCCTAGGGGACCGCCCTCTCCTCCTGGCCGCGTGCTGCTGACGCGCCTCCCGTGGAGGGCGATGTGCGGGAGGCGGTATTTCCGCAGCCCTGGAGTCTGAGTGAACGGGACTGGGCTGTGATGAGCCAGGACAGAGGCGTGCTGCGTGCCTGTGGGGCCGGGGCCTGCACTGCAGGGCAGCTGAGGAAGGAGAGCCGTGCTTCATTTGCGTGACGGACGGGCTGAGGAGCGCGCACTTGGTCTCGTGGGCACTGTGGAAAAGTGGGGCGTCTGGAAGAAGAGGGGAGGGACACGATGAAGCGGACGTGCCGGGCGCCGTGTCTGGGTGTAGGATGAATGAGAAGCACCTGGACTAAGTGGCCTTCGGGTTGGAATCAGCTAGGAGCTGCCATCTGGGGCGAAGTGGTTTGGTCTGAAGCACTGAGTCACGGGGTCCCCCATGGGGGGCAGAGGGTGGCCACAATGCCCCAGCTCAGGCTAGACCTGCTTCCTCCTCCTGGCGGGCCTGCCACATGTCGTCCCGGGCTGCGGGGGTGTAATGGACCACAGCTCGGACTTGGATGGAAGGGTCTCAGCCAAAGACTGTTTGGCTCTTTGCTTACCAGCTGAATCACATGCCCCTTTGAAAGGGAAAAATGACCGGGTGACAAATCCCCACCACCCTCCGATGCACAGGAAGAGCTCCAGCTCCATGTTTCCTGGCATCTATGTTACAAGCTTTTATTTCAAACACTCGCCTACCTGACATTTGAAATACCAGGAGTGATTTGGAGGCTGCCATTTACCACCATCCCTATCGTTTCCAGCTCAAAAACCCTTTTTCAGTAGGAAACACACATTCCCGTCTGATGTAGGCACTCGGCTCCGAGCCTCTTCTGTGCCCCGTGTCCAAGGCAGGAAGCACGGGCATTGCCTGCCAGTAGCCCCCTTGGGCACTCCTGCCCCTCCTCTCGCTGGCTCTGCCTGTCCCGCTGGCTGCAGCATCAGTGGGCAGTTAGGACAAGGTGCCCCGCTCAGAGTCGGGTATAGTCACCGTGACAGCAGGCAAGGAGTAGCAGGGGTCCACGGCTGCCAGGAGGCTTCGCCTTCCGCATGGGCAGAGGGGGTAGCGACAGGGTGAGGCAGTGGGTGCAGCGTCCCAAGTGAGGCCCTTGCGGATGTCTGCATGGAGCCCTGACCCAGGAATGCGGGTCTGAGGACCAGCCAGCATCACTGGCCTGGGGCGCAGGCCGAGTCCACGCCAGCTGTGCCAGCTGTGCCGTCTGCATGGGAGGGCAGCTTAGCCCTCACCAAACCCAAGCTGAGGGAACTGCCTCCACCCGCCATTTGCCCACCTGCCTGGCTGCTGGCCACACACCTGTTCCTGCACCTGGCTGCCTCCCCCAGCCCTGCCGCCTGCTCCCCTCCACGTGCCTGAAGCTCCTGAGCTGCTGCGTGGCTTCACATTTCATTCCCACCAGGGGGCGTGGCGGGAAGGGCGGGCTCCCCGTGAATCAAGGGACGTCATTCTGCTGTGAAAACAGGCGGCTCTGGAATCCTTTGGGTGCACGGGTGGGACTCAGGGTGTGGTAGCCATATGACGAGGTCCCCTGTGACCTGTGCTAATATTGGGGCACATGTACTGTGAACGCAGTAGCCACTTGCTGAAGCGATGTCTGTTCCAAAAGAGAACATCGAGTGTCTGTCGTGTGGAAGTCGAGTCCCGAGTCTGGCGCCTGCACCTGGGCGTGTGGAAGTGGTTCTCACTGAGGCGGCGCCGCCCACGCTGGCAAGAGAGTTTGGAGCTCAGTTTGAACGTGTTCGCTTGAGAGTTGGGGTGCCTGTCAGGCTGGATGAGGAGCATATTATCTAGGAGAGTTAGACCTGTGGCTTGGCACTTGGAAGGTGAGAGCCAAAGGTGGGGCGGCTCCTAGAGGCTGTGGAGGGAATCGTGGCCCTGGCTGGGGGGCTCCAGGACGCCCTGCGAGTGCACCCCGGCTTCTGTCACTGGGGTTTCTCTCTCACTGCCGTGCATCCGCCCCTGCCAGCCTCCGCCACCACGCTGTTTTGTTTTCCTCTGTGGCTGTGGTCTTTGTCTTGGGCCCGGGCCGCCTTTATTTTTTCCTCATTAGCGTGTGGCGTGGCTGCTGGGAGCCGGGACATTGTTTTGCTGCGAGTTGCCTGGCGCCCCTTCCATACTGCGGTTCCGTTTTATGAAACCCAGATGCTCTGGGCCGGGTGTGTGCCGCTGACTGAAACGCGCTGTGGGAAGTGGAGAGAGCAGCTCCGGCTCATCTGTGGGACAGCACAGTGCTTCCTGTTTGTGTCTTTAAAATACCAACAAGCCCGTCCTTTTTATTTGTCTGGCCCTTTTTAAAGTTTAATAAAGTACAAAGTAAGTAAAAGTCAGAGCTGGCTGGTTACGTAAGAGTCTGGATGTTTGTGGGGATAAACGCCAGTGTCGCCGCGTCCAGCTCGGAGTGTGGTGACCCCGTCTCGCCGCCCGGCTGTGTCGGCTGCTGCTGGAGCAGAGAGAAGTGAGCAGCTTCCCCTGAGAAGTTCAGTCTGAGCAGCATGTGGTTCTCTGTTGTCGGGCGAGT